AGGTCCCTTCCAACTCTATTATTCTGTTAATTCTTGTCCTGCTCGTGTTCAAAGTCACAATGTCACTGGCTGTTGCAGCGCCCCCTGCAGTCACGTGAAGAAAATTTCACTGCTTGGCAGCCTCCCCCACACTTAACGACCGCAGGGATGCTTTAATTGCCCCCCCCCACACACTTTTTCCCACTATCTGCAGGTAGTCCTCGGCTTAACAACCAAATTTTCTGTTGCTAAGTAAGATATTTGTTAAGTGAGTTTTGCCTCATGACAATCTTTCCACAATTGTCAAGTGAATCACTGCAGTCGTTAAGCAAATCTGGCTTCCTTCGTTGACTTTGCTGGTTGGAAGCTGGCTTGGGGGGGGGGGAGAGAGAGATAAATAGAGATCTGTGTCTGTGAGAGAGAAAGAGAGATGGAGAGAAAGAGAGAGATAAATAAAGACCTGTCTGTGAGAGAGATGGAGAGAAAGAGATAAATAGAGGTGTGTGTGTGTGAGAGAGAGAGATGAGAGATAGATAAATAGAGATATGTGTGTGTGTGAGTGAGAGAGAGGAAGTTTGAAAGAGATGGAGAGATATAAATAAATAGAGGGAGATGAGAGAGAATAAGAGATGGAGATTAGATAAATAGAGGGAGAGAGAGTGATAGATGGAGAGATATAAAAGATGATAGAGGTAGAAAGATGGAGAGACAGATGGGAGGGGAGAGAGAGAAAGATGGAGAGATAGATAAATAGAGGGAGATGAGAGAAAGATGGAGAGATAGATAAATACAGGGAGATGAGAGAGAAAAAGATGGAGAGATAAATAGAGTGATAAATGGAGAGATATAAAAGAGATGATAGAGGTAGAAAGATGGAGAGACAGGTGGGAGGGGCGAGAGAAAGATGGAGAGAGAGAGATAAATACAGGGAGATGAGAGAGAAAAAGATGGAGAGATAAATAGAGTGATAAATGGAGAGATATAAAAGATGATAGAGGTAGAAAGATGGAGACAGGTGGGAGGGGAGAGAAAGATAAATGGAGATGAGAGAAAGATGGAGAGATAGAGAGAGAGTGATGGATGGAGAGATATAAAAGGTGATAGAGGTAGAAAAATGGAGAGACAGGTGAGAAGGGAGAGAGATGGAGAGATATAGATAAATAGAGGGAGAAAGAGAAGAGAGAGTGATAGACGGGAGAGATAAAGAGATAATAGAAGTAGATAGAAAGATGGAGAGACAGATGGGAAGAGAGAGAGAGAGAATTAACACATGTAGTCCTCGACTTATGACCACAGCTGAGCCCAAAATTTCTGCTACAAAGTGAGACATTTGTCAAGCAAGTTTTTGTCCCTCTTTTACAACCTTACAACCCCAGTTATTAAGTGAATCACTGCAGTTGACGTAAGTCACACAGTTGTTAAGTGAATCTGGCTTCCCTCATTGACTTTGCTTGTCGGAAGGCCACAAAAAAAAGGGGGAAATCACGTGAGCCCCGGGACGCTGCAACCGTCGTAACTATAAATCAGTCGCCAAGCAGCCCAATTTTGATCACGTGACCGGGGGGGAGGCCGACAACGTAAGTGTGAAAAAAAACACCCTACGTCACTTTTTTCCAGTGCCGTCGTAACTTTGGTCGCTAAAGGAACGGTTATAAGTCGAGGACTACCTACGGGCCTCTTGGGCACCCTGATCTGGGTGTTCCCTGCCCTCCCAGTTCAGCCTACCCATAGCAGGCCGGCGTGGCCCCTTTGCGAAGAGGCCGCACCATTTTTTTCCCCTCAAGGTCTCACACACACAACCATTTCCTTGCGAGACCCGGCAAAGGCGGCCTGTCATGTCCTCGGCCGCCTCACGAAGGGCCAGGGCAGGCCCGCCTCATCCGCAGTGGGAGCAAGGAGGTCAGCCGGGGCCACAGAGGGCAGGGCCTCGCTGGCCTCGGAGTGCCTGCGGTCAGACCCACTGCGGCTGGGGCACCGTGGGACGCACTGCAGCTTCACACTAAGCTGCTTGGCCGGGGCAGCTGAGGCTTCAGGTTGCGCCGTGGGTCAAGGCCTCGTGCAGCCCCAGAGCCCAGCCGCACCCAAAAGCCGCCCCCCCCCGAGCCCTCCAGGTGTGGGGGCTGCTTGTCACCTGGCAGAGCCAGAAGGGCATAGATGGGTGGGTGGGGGAGGGCAGTTGAAGAACCCGCACCGCTTTATTTTCTCCAGGCTTGGAGTGGGGAGGGTCCTTCATTTGTGGCCGGTGGAATTTGGTAAATGCCGGTAGTGGGGAAGGGCCCTGAAAGCCTTCCCACGGCCTTTTCGTGAGTTTTAAGCATCCCTCGCCTCTTTAAATTTTGTATTCCGTTTTTTGCTTTTTAACATTTTATCGTGTGTCGCTTTTGAGAGAGATGGGAAGATAGATAGATAGATAGATAGATAGATAGATAGATAGATAGATAGATAGATAGATAGATAGATAGACAGATAGACAGATAGACAGATAGACACAGAGAGAGATACATACATATATAGAGAGATAATAGAGAGAGATGTACAGAGATAGATAGATAGATAGATAGATAGATAGATAGATAGACAGATAGACAGAGAGAGATACATACATACATATACAGAGATAATAGAGAGAGATATACAGAGCTACATATACAGAGATAGATAGATGATAGAGAGAGAGAGAGAGAGGTAGATAAAGATATAGATGATAGATAGATAGACAGACGAATGATGGGTAGATAGATATAGTTAGGTGTGTGAGAGAGATACATACATACATACATACATACATACATACATACATACATACAGAGATAATAGAGAGAGAGACAGACAGACAGATAGATAGATAGACAGACAGACATAGATAGATAGATAGATAGATAGACAGATAGACACAGAGAGAGATACATACATATATAGAGAGATAATAGAGAGAGATGTACAGAGATAGATAGATAGATAGATAGATAGATAGATAGATAGACAGACAGATAGACAGAGAGAGATACATACATACATATACAGAGATAATAGAGAGAGATATACAGAGCTACATATACAGAGATAGATAGATGATAGAGAGAGAGAGGTAGATAAAGATATAGATGATAGATAGATAGACAGACAGACGAATGATGGGTAGATAGATATAGTTAGGTGTGTGAGAGAGATACATACATACATACATACATACATACATACATACATACATACAGAGATAATAGAGAGAGAGACAGACAGACAGACATAGATAGATAGATAGACAGACATAGATAGATAGATAGATAGATAGATAGATAGATAGATAGATAGATAGATAGATAGATAGATAGATAGACAGACAGATAAATATATGGATAAACACAGCCAAAGAGAGAGAGAAAGAGAAAGAGAGAGTAGATAGATGATAGACAGATATAGAGATAAATAGACTGACATAAAGAGAGAAATGATGATAGACAGACAGACATAGTAGATAGATTATAGAAACAGACAGCCAAACTGAGTGAGTGAAAGAGATATAGTAGATAATCAGATTAATATGATATTGACAGGGAGAGAGATAATAATAGATATACACAGTAGGTAAAGAGATGATAGACAGATAAATAAATAGATAAACAGACAGCTAAACTGAGAGAGAGAGAGAGAGAGAGAGAGAGATGATAGACGATAGATAAATATAGATAGACACACAAACATACACAATCAGTAAATAGATGATAGCATAAATATAGACTGACAGAGAGAGAGACAGAGAGAGACGATGATGGATGGATGATAGATACAGTAGACAGATGATGCTGTACTTTCCGATGTATAAAGACGACTTTCGAAAGTGTTGAAATTGGCGCCGAAGTCGGGGGTCGTCTTATACGCCGAGTCATCTTATACGCCGGAAATAACGGTAGTTTCCGGCGTATAAGACAACTTTCTAGGTATGTGATTCAGCGCCGAAGTTGGGGGTCGTCTTATATGCCGGGTCGCCTTATACGCCGGAAAATACGGTAGACATAAAAATAGACATGTAGATGGGGAGGGGAGAAAGAGATGATAAACAGATAGACATGGAGGATTCAGATTGCTCTTCGTATTGACAGCCTCCACCAAAACGGGGGTCCTCAGACCCAGCTGGATTTCCAGCAGCAGCAGTCCCAGCCCACCTGGCCAGCAGCCTACGCACACCTCCGTAGAGACGAAGTGCGCGTCACACCTGCGCTCTCCCCAGCGTCATTTGCGACCCATTCCGTGTGCGGTCCACCTGCGGGATTCCTCTTATCGACCCACCGCTGGATCGCAGGCACATTCACCCCAACTTCACCCTGTTCCGGCACGTAGTTCTCTCCTCTCTAAGATGTCCTTTCCCTCCCACTCGTAGGGAACACCGGGCACTTACCTGTCCCACAGTCAGAGCTCTTACGGTCAGGAGCCAGCCAAGCCACCTGGAGGCTCCATTTCGCTCGGCTTGCCAAGACAGCAGGATTCCAAGTCAGGTAAATCAAGGATGATAGGAAGACGGACACGGCCTCGGCTTCTGTGCAGGTGTGCAGAAAGCAAGGGCTCCTTGGCCTTCAAAAGCCCAACTAGATGTGGGGGGTGGTCTTCAGACGGAAAGGTAGCACTAGCAACAGCACTTGGACTTATTTGCCGCTTCAAAGTTCTTTTACAACCCTCTCTAAGCGGTTTATAGAGTCAGCCTATTTGCCCCCAACAACCTGGGTCCTCATTTTACCGACCTCGGAAGGACGGAAGGCTGAGTCAACCTTGAGCCGGTCAGGATTGAACTGCTGGTAGTGGGCAGAGTCAGCCTGCAATGCTGCATTATAACTACTGTGTTACCATAGCTTCCTTCCTTCCTTCCTTCCTTCCTTCCTTCCTTCCTTCCTTCCTTCCTTCCTTCCTTCCTTCCTTCCTTCCTTCCTTCCTTCCCAAGCAACAGTACTTAGACTTATATACCACTTCATATAGTGCTTTACAGCCCTCTCTAAGCAGTTTATAGAGTCAGCATATTTGCCCCCAACAATCTGGGTCCTCATTTTACCGACCACGGAAGGACAGAAGGCTGAGTCAATTTTGAGCCGGTCAGGATCGAACTTCCTGGCTGTGGGCAGTCAGCCTGCAATGCTGCATTATAACTACTGTGTTACTACAGCTTCCTTCCTTCTTGTTTTCCTTCCTTCCTTCCTTCCTTCCTTCCTTCCTTCCTTCCTTCCTTCCTTCCTTCCTTCCTTCCTTCCTTCTTTCCCATTTTCCTTCCTTCCCATTTTCCTTCCTTCCTTCCTTCCTTCCTTCCTTCCTTCCTTCCTTCCTTCCTTCCTTCCTTCCTTCCTAAGAAACAGCACTTAGAATTATATACCGCTTCACAGTGCTTTACAGCCCTCTCTAAGCAGTTTACAGAGTCGGCCTATTTGCCCCCAACAATCTGGATCTTCATTTTACCGACTTCGGAAGGACGGAAGGCTGAATCAGCCTTCAGCTGGTCAGGATCAAACTCTGGGCAGTGGGCCTGCAATACTGTATTCTAACTATTGCGCCACCATGACGAAGGAAGGAAGGAAAGAAGGAAGGAGAAAAGGGAGAGAAAGAAGGAAGGAGGGAGGGAGGGAAGGAGAAAAGGCAGGGAAAGAAAGAAGGAAAGGAAGGAAGCAATAGCACGTAGACTTATATACCGCTTCACAATGCTTTACAGTCCCCTCTAAGCGGTTTACAGCCTATTTGCCTCCAACCATCTGGGTCCTCACTTTATCGACCTTAGAAGGACGAAAAGTGAGTTAAGGTGGCGCAGCAGTTAGAGTGCAGTACTGCAGGCCACTTTAGCTGACTGTATTTAGCAGGTCAGCGGTTCAAATCTCACCGGCTCAAGGTTGACTCAGCCTTCCATCCTTCCGGGGTAGGTAAAATGAGGACCCAGATTGTTGGGGGCAATGTAAATATATATATATATTTGAGGGCAATGTAAATATATATATATGTTTTCTGAGGTTTTCGCAGGTGTTTGTATGTAGGTCTTTGGTTGTTCGGGTTTTCTCCCGCGTAAAATTGGAAGTGTCTTGGTGACGTTTCGACGAAGTCCCATTCGTCATCTTCAGGCTGGTGTTTTCAGCTTCGTGCTGAATTGCTGCTCGAAGCACGAAGCTGAAAACACCAGCCTGAAGATGACGAATGGGACTTGGTCGAAACGTCGCCAAGACACCTCCAATTTTACGCGGGAGAAAACCCGAACAACCAAAGACCTACATACAAACACCCGCGAAAACCTCAGAAAACATATATATATATACACATACATACATACATACATACATACATACATACATACATACACACATTGCTTACTGGTGTACACCGCTTAGAGAGTGCTTGCACTTAAAAGCGGTATATAAGTCTCATAAATAAATAAACCTTGAGCCGGTCAGAATCGAACTTCCTGGCAGTGGGCAGAGTCAGCCTGCAATATGACACTTTAACCACTGCACCACCAGGGTAGGCCTGAGTCTCAGGATTGGCGTTGGTGGTTTGGAAAATGGACGCCGAGCCAAGATCCGACTCGCGCGTGCTTGGACGCTCTGAGGCTGTGTGGGAATGAAATGGTTTGGATGTGGGTTGTGTGTATCTTCAAACACCCCCTTGCCTTCTTTGCAGGTTCCCTGCCGTACATCAAGCAAGAAGAATTTTCACCCCGGAGCCAAAACTCACAGCCCGAAGGCCTGTTGGTGAGAGCTCAGCATGAAGGAGTCGTTCGAGGTAAGCCAAGCTGGAATTAAGGAAGAAAATGGGCGTGCTCGAGATTGTGTGAGCCGGTCTTTTCAGTCCAGCCTGTTCTGCGCGGTCCTCGGTGATCTCTGCGCTTGGTGGTTTCCTTGCTGATGTCTCATGACCCAACGAGGTAACTTCGTCAGTGCTAGAAGGGAAGGTGGGGTTTGCTCTCCGTTAAAATGGCTTGCTCTATCAGTGTTGGTGGGGGTGAGAATAGACAGACTGTCAGCCATGAGTAGACATGTAGAGACAGCCATAGCAATATCACTTAGACTTATATACCGCTTCACAGCGCCTTGCAGCCCTCTTTAAGCAGGTTACAGAGTCGGCATTTTGCCCCAGACAATCCTATCCTATCCCATCCCCATTCCATTCCATTCCGTATTCTATTTTCTATTCTATTCCATTCCATATTTTCTATTCTATTCCATTCCATTCCATATTTTCTATTCCATTCCATTCCGTATTCTATTTTCTATTCCATTCTATTCCATTTTCTATTTTCTTTTCTATTCTATTCCATTCCATATTTTCTATTCTATTCCATTCCGTTTTCTATTTTCTTTTCTATTCTATTCCATTCCATTCCATTCCATATTTTCTATTCTATTCTATTCTATTCCATTCTATATTTTCTATTCCATTCCATTCCATTCCATATTTTCTATTCTATTCCATTCCATTCCGTTTTCTATTATTCCATTCCATATTTTCTATTCTATTCCATTCCATTCCATATTTTCTATTCCATTCCATTCCGTATTCTATTTTCTATTCCATTCTATTCCATTTTCTATTTTCTTTTCTATTATTCTATTCCATTCCATATTTTCTATTCTATTCCATTCCGTTTTCTATTTTCTTTTCTATTCTATTCCATTCCATTCCATTCCATATTTTCTATTCTATTCTATTCTATTCCATTCTATATTTTCTATTCCATTCCATTCCATTCTATATTTTCTATTCTATTCCATTCCATTCCGTTTTCTATTCCATTCCATTCCATATTTTCTATTCTATTCCATTCCATATTTTTCTATTCCATTCCATTCCATTTTCTATTTTCTATTCTATTACACTCCATTCCATATTTTCTGTTCTGTTCTATTCTGTTCCATTCAATTCTATTACATTCCATATTTTCTATTCTATTCCATTTGATTCCATTCCGTTTTCTATTTTCTATTCTATTCCATTCTATTCCATTCCATATTTTCTATTCTATTCCATTCCATTCCGTTTTCTATTTTCTTTTCTATTCCATTCCATTTTATCCCATTCCATATTTTCTATTCCATTCCATTCCACCTTCCTTGCCACCCTTCTTAAGTGAATCACTGTGCTTGTTAAATTAGTAACGTACTCTGGCTTCCCCATCAACTTGGCTTGGTCTCACAAGGTGATCACATGACACTCGCCCCAGGGACACGGCCACCGTCATGCATACGAGTCTGTTGCCAAGCGGCTAAACTTTGATCACGGGGATGTTGCAGCAGCCATCAGCGTTGAAAAATGCTCCTAAGTCTCATTTTCTTCAGCACCGTTGTAACTTTGAGCAGTCCCTACACCTACCGTTATCTACAGTAGTGGCCAAAATTGTGGAAACCTTCTAGGAAAAGTGTATTTTTGAGGTTTGATGGCTAATAACACCCCTTTTTGGGGGGAGCAGTACCATAAAATTATATATCGATGGAAAGATCATTTAATCAGGAATGTAATGCAGCAAAGTTTGTTCAATTATCCATACTGTATTCTATGAAAAGCTATAGCCAAATAACCAGAAAAAGGAAGAACAACTTGCTTAGGTTGATCTCAGGTAGCTTTCCTTCCTCTGATGGTAGCCAATGAGCAGGAGTGTTTAGAGAACCAATCGAGTGTCATCGTGTTTTGGAAATGAGCCAATCAGATCACGGTAGGATCCAGTGATTGATGTCCTGTATTGAAGCCGAGAGGAGGACATTTATCAGCGTGTGATGTGATGGCTATCAAGTTGGTTGGGGGGGGGGGTTGTGCTCTTTCTTTTAGTCAGCTTATAAAACGTAATAAAATTTAAGACAGTGGTTCTCCACCTGTGGGTCGGGACCCCATTTGGCGTCAAATGACCATTTCACGGGGGTCACCAAACAACGCAGTCCGCCATTTTTCCCCCCCTTTTCCTTAGCTGTGCTACTCCCTTTTATTCAATTGGCTTTTGAGAACCAATATAATAGACTCTCTTGAATAGAGTCTAATTCTATTGGCTTTCCAAAGCCAATAGGAATTGTCCAGGCTGTCTCTGCCCTGCTGAGCCCGCCAAAAGTCCCAGTCTGCCAACAGTGCTGCGCCAGTCGAGTAGTCCTCGACTTACGACCGGTTGAGTAGTCCTCGACTTACGACCGGTTGGGGGTCGCGGCATTAAAAAGGTTGAGAACCACTGAATTAAAGTCATGGTGCAAAGAGTTGACCAGTCACCCAGAAAGCGATAAAAAATAGTATTTATTAAGCGAACAAGGCTACAGTTATAAAGAAATGAGAAGAAAAATGGGTGGAAATTTAAGCAAAGGTGGCATTTTTACCGTACACATTTCCCAAAAGGTTTCCACAATTTGGGCCACCACTGTACCTATTGCATCTGTCCTCCGTGCCTTTTACCTGGCCTTGTTACCTCTTGTTACCTTTTACCTGGCCTTGTCCATCGTCACTCTTGTCCTCTTCTCTTCCGCTTCCCTGCAGGTACAACCACCATCCAGGAAGGGAGCATCACCCGAGGGACTCCCACCAGCAAACTTTCCATGGAAGCGATGCCTGCTTTGCGCGGCTCCATCACTCAGGTACGCCCACCTTGCGTCGTTCGCTTTTCCGATCCTTCCGTCGGCTCGGTGGTTTATTTTCCTGAGTTGACAGGTAGTCCTCGACATACGACCAGAATGGAGGCCAAAGTTTATGCCGCGAAGTGAGAATTTTTTTGTTCAGGGAGGTCTGCCCGATTTCTCGCCACAGCGCTTAACTGCAGTTATTAAATTAGGCCGTTTTTCTCCTCTTCGGCCAGCTTCAATATACAGGTAGTCCTCGACTTACGACCACAACTGAGACCAAAATTTCTGTCGTTAAGCGAGACATGTGTTAAGGGAGTTTTGTCCCTATTGTACCATCTTTCTGCCCACCGCTGTTAAGTGAATCCACTGCAGTTAATTGAGGGGGATGTTAATCCACTGCTTCCCCTCCATTGACTTTGCCTGGTCGGAAGGTCGCAAAAAAGGGGACGCCGGGACACGGCAACCGTCATAACTACGAGTCCGTTGCCAAGAGCCTGAATTTTGACCCGCGGGTTTCGTGGGGGAATGTTGCGGTGGTCGTAACAGTGGAAAACGGTCCTAAGTCTCGTTTTTCAGTGCCGTTGTACCTTCCAACGGTCACTAAATGAACTGTCGTAAGTCGAGGGCTACCTGCACTCTCTGGAGCAACCTAGGTGTTTATCAGCAGAAAAAGCGAAGGGATTCCCCCCCTACACCTGACCGCCCCCTCCCCCGTCTTTCCACATGCTGTTTTTGTCAGCATCAATTTGAGCCTGGATATCTAGGCATAATAATAACAACAACAACTACAAATAGAAATAGAAAGACTGTGGCAAAAGCAAGCAAGGGTCGTACCAATAGTCATAGGCGCCTTGGGTGCAATCCCAAAACAACTGGAGCACCACTTGAACACCATTGGCATTGACAAATTCGCTATTAGTCAATTGCAAAAGGCGGCCTTACTAGGAACTGCTTCCATCCTGCGACGATACCTGTAATACCATCAAACATCCACATCTGCCTATCCCAGGTCCTGGGTAAGGACTCGATAGGTAGACAAAATGCCAAATCCAGTCTGAACATCTGGCTGACTGTGCGATGATCAATATAAATAGCAACAACAACACAACAACAACAATAATGTAGAGTAGAGTAGAATAGAATGAAAATAGAATAGAGTACAGTAGAGTAGAATTGAATAGGAAATAGAGTAGAATAGAAAATAGAGTAGAATAGAATAGAGTAGAGTAGAGTAGAGTAGAATAGAGTAGAACAGTGATGGTGAACCTTATAGAGACCGAGTGCCCAAACTGCAACCCAAAACCACTTATACATCGTCGGGTGCTGGGTGGGTGTGGCCCATTGGGTGGGTGTGGCCCATTGGGTGGGTGTGGCCCATTGGGTGGGTGTGGCCCATTGGGTGGGCGTGGCTGCAGTGGTATCGGCAGACTGGGTGGGACTAAAAAGTTCAATCAATCAATTCCAACTTTGCAAGATCTTTTTTTTCCCTTGAGAAGTTGAAATTGACTGATTTAACCTTTTTTTTTTTTTTTTTTTTGCCCACGGCGGTGGAGGCCTAAAGCGAAAAGGTTTTATAAAACCCAGCTGAAGGCCTAGGACTGGGGCGAGGGCGCGCGTGCCCACAGAAAGGGCTCTGAGTGCCGCCTCTGGCACCCGTGCCATAGGTTCGCCACCACTGGAGTAGAATAACAATACCCAAAAAACTGGAGAATATAACAAACTACAGAAAACCTGCAAGTAGAAACAGAACGACTGTGGCAGAAGAAGATCACATGGATAGCCATAGGCGGCAGCAATGGGTGCAATCCCGAAACATCTGCAGTACCCCTTAAAAACCATCGGCATTGACAAATTCCCTATCGGTCAATTACGAAAGGCAGCAGTCCAAGTTGCCCCCTTGCCCTCCAATTAATCTTTTTGAAGGGTGGATTAAAATGTCTTTCCGCTGCAGGGAACCCCGGCTTTGTCCCAGCCTGGAATTGCAGCGGATGTTCTGCTCAAAGGCACCATCACCCGTCTGGCTACGGAGGACAGCAGTCCGGAGAAGAGCCGAGAAGAGATGGCCACCTCCAAAGGCCACGTCATTTACGAGGGGAAGAGCGGCCACATCATTACCTACGATGGTGAGTGCCGAGTCGGGAGGCTCCACATCCCCCACGTGCTGCTTGAGGGAGATGCACCACGGAAGCTGGGCCAGGAAAATTACGCTCCGTTAGGGTCCTTGGTGCCCTCTGAGCTGGGTGATTTTCTTGCAGACGTTTCATGACCGAACTAGGTAATGTCCTCAGTGCTAGGAAGGAACGGGGGGGGGGGGAGAAGGAAGAGAAGGAGGAGGATTGTGGGATCCTTGGTGCTCTCTGAGCTGGGTGGTTTTCCTGCAGACATTTCATGACCCAACTAGGTAGCATCATCAGTGCTAGAAGGGAGGAGGAGAAGGAGGACTGTGGGGGTCCTGGTGTTTTTTGAGCTGGGTGGGTTTTCCTACAGACGTTTCATGACCCAACTAGGTAGCATCAGTGTTAGAAGGGAGGAGGAGGAAGGAAGAAGAAGAGGAAAAGAAGAGATAAAGAAGGAGGAGGAGAAGAGGTACAGAAGGAAGAGAGGAAGAAGAGGAATAGATAGAGGAGGGAGGAGGAGGAGGAGGACTGTGGGGGTCCCTGGTGCTCTCTGAGCTGGGTGGTTTTCCTGCAGACTTTTCATGATGTTCCCTAGTTGGGTCGAGAAACGTCTGCAAGAAAACAACTGAGCTCAGAGGACACCAAAGACCCCACACTCCTCCTCTTCCTCCTCTTCTGCCCTCTGCAAAGCCCACTCCCTTTTAGCACGAGTGATGTTGCCTAGTTGGGTCGTGAAACATCTGGAAGAAATCCTAAAGAGCACCAGGGCCCCTCAGTTCAACCCTGAGCTACAAATATTGCCTTCCGTGGAAAAAATATTTCCATTTTCACTAAGAGAATCCAAGGGAAATAGTTTTCCATTAGTCCGTCTCTTTCTCTCTCTCTCTCTTTTTCTCTCTCTCTCTTTCTCTTTCTTTTTCTCTCTTCTCTTTCTCTTTCTCTCTCTTTCTCTCTCTTTCTCTTTCTTCTCTCTTTCTCTTTCTCTTTTCTCTCTTTCTCTTTCTCTCTCTCTCTCTCTTTCTCTCTCTTTCTCTTTCTTTTTCTCTCTTTCTCTTTTTTTCTCTTTCTCTCTCTTTCTCTTTCTTTTTCTCTCTTTCTCTTTCTCTCTCTCTCTTTCTCTCTTTCTCTTTCTTTCTCTTTGTGTCTTTTTCTCTCTCTTTCTCTTTCTTTCTTTCTCTTTTTCTTTCTCTTCTCTCTTTCTCTTCTCTCTCTCTCTTTCTCTTTCTCTCTCTCTCTTTCTCTTTCTCTCTCTCTCTCTCTCTTTCTTTTCTCTCTCTTTCTCTTTCTCTCTCTCTTTTCTCTTTCTCTCTCTTTCTCTTTCTTTTTCTCTCTTTCTCTTTCTCTCTCTTTTTTTCTCTTTCTCTCTCTTTCTCTTTCTTTTTCTCTCTTTCTCTTTCTCTCTCTTTTTTTCTCTTTCTCTCTCTTTCTCTTTCTTTTTCTCTCTTTCTCTTTCTCTCTCTTTTTTTCTCTTTCTCTCTCTTTCTCTTTCTTTTTCTCTCTTTCTCTTTCTCTCTCTCTTTCTCTCTTTCTCTTTCTTTCTCTTTGTGTCTTTTTCTCTCTCTTTCTCTCTCTTTCTCTTTCTTTCTTTCTCTTTTTCTCTCTTTCTCTTTCTCTCTCTCTTTCTCTTTCTCTCTCTCTCTTTCTCTTTCTCTCTCTTTTTTTCTCTTTCTCTCTCTTTCTCTTTCTTTTTCTCTCTTTCTCTTTCTCTCTCTTTTTTTCTCTTTTTCTCTCTTTCTCTTTCTCTCTCTTTTTTTCTCTTTCTCTCTCTTTCTCTTTCTTTTTCTCTCTTTCTCTTTCTCTCTCTCTCTTTCTCTCTTTCTCTTTCTTTCTCTTTGTGTCTTTTTCTCTCTCTCTTTCTCTTTCTTTCTTTCTCTTTTTCTTTCTCTTTTTCTCTCTTTCTCTTTCTCTCTCTCTTTCTCTTTCTCTCTCTTTTTTTCTCTTTCTCTCTCTTTCTCTTTCTTTTTCTCTCTTTCTCTCTCTTTTTTTCTCTTTCTCTCTCTTTCTCTTTCTTTTTCTCTCTTTCTCTTTCTCTCTCTCTCTTTCTCTCTTTCTCTTTCTTTCTCTTGTGTCTTCTTTCTCTCTTCTCTCTTTTTCTTTCTCTTCTTTCTCTCTCTCTTTTCTCTTCTCTCTCTCTCTCTTTCTCTCTTCTCTCTCTCTTCTTTTCTCTTCTTTCTCTTTCTCTCTCTTTTTCTCTCTTCTCTCTCTTTCTTTTCTTTTCTCTCTCTCTTTCTCTCTCTTTTCTCTCTTTCTTCTCTCGTTTTCTCTTTCTCTTTCTCTCTCTTTTTCTTTCTTTTTCTCTCTTTCTCTTTCTCTCTCTCTCTTTCTCTCTTTCTCTTTCTTTCTCTTTGTGTCTTTTTCTCTCTCTCTTTCTCTTTCTTTCTTTCTCTTTTTCTTTCTCTTTTTCTCTCTTTCTCTTTCTCTCTCTCTTTCTCTTTCTCTCTCTTTTTTTCTCTTTCTCTCTCTTTCTCTTTCTTTTTCTCTCTTTCTCTCTCTTTTTTTCTCTTTCTCTCTCTTTCTCTTTCTTTTTCTCTCTTTCTCTTTCTCTCTCTCTCTTTCTCTCTTTCTCTTTCTTTCTCTTTGTGTCTTTTTCTCTCTCTTTCTCTTTCTTTCTTTCTCTTTTTCTTTCTCTTTTTCTCTCTTTCTCTTTCTCTCTCTCTCTTTCTCTCTTTCTCTTTCTTTTTCTCTCTTTCTCTTTCTCTTTCTCTTTGTCTCTTTTTCTCTCTCTTTCTCTCTCTTTCTTTCTCTCTCTCTCTTTCTCTTTTTCTTTCTCTTTTTCTCTCTTTCTCTTTCTCTCTCTCTTTCTTTCTCTTTCTTTCTCTTTCTCTCTCTCTCTCTCCTTCTCAACAGCCATCAAGAATGTCCGGGAAGGAACGCGGAGCCCAAGGACCGCTCACGACATGGGCCTCAAACGGACCTATGAAGCCATGGAAGGAAACATCAAGCAGGCAATGTCAATGAGAGAATCTCCCACGCCTTTAGAAGGTAAGCTTGGCTAGCAAATTCCTCTTTGTTTGCAAGAATTGGGTCTGTCTAGTCTAATGAAGAGAAGGACAAAGGGGGGACAGGATAGCCGTGTTCCAATATCTCAGGGGCTGCCCCAAAGAAGAGGGAGTCAAGCTGTTCTCCAAAGCGCCTGAAGGCCAGACAAGAAGCAACGGGTGGAAACTCATCCAGGAGAGAAGCAACCTGGAACTAAGGAGAAACTTCCTGACAGTCAGAACAATTAACCAGTGGAACTCCTTGCCACCAGAGGTTGCGGGTGCTCCTTCAGGTTTTCAAGAAGAGGTAGCCTCTGAAATAGTGTAGGACAGTGGTTCTCCACCTGTGGGTCAGGACCCCATTTGGGGTCAAACGATCATTTCACGGGGGTCGCCAAACAACGCAGTCCGCCATTTTCCCCCCCCTTTTCCTTAGCTGTGCTACTCCCTTTTATTCTATTGGCTTTTGAAAGCCAATAGAATAGACTCTCTTGAATAGAGTCCAATTCTATTGGCTTTCAAAAGCCAATAGGAATTGTCCAGGCTGTCTCTACCCTGCTGAGCCCGCCAAAAGTCCCATTCTGCAAACGGTGCTGCACCAGTTGAGTAGTCCTCGACTTACGACCGGTTGAGTAGTCCTCAACTTACGACCGGTTGGGGGTCGCGGCCTTAAAAAGGTTGAGAACCACTGGTGTAGGGTGTCCTGCGTGAAAATCAGAATCAGCTGGAAGGGACACTCTATATATCATTTCAGACTGTCCAGTCTCTTCTTAAGAACGTCCAGCAATGAAGCATTCACAACTTCTGGTGGCAAGCTGTTCCAGGGGTTAATTGTTCTCATTGTAGGGAAATTTCTCCTTAATTCCAAGTTGGTTCTCTCCTTGATGAGTTTTTCCATCTGTTGCCCCCCCCTCCCTGGAATGGAATGGAAAATGGAATGGAATGGAATAATAACAACTTTATTGTCACTGTGAATGTACACTAATTAGCATACATTAAAATGAAATTTCATTGCATTGAGCTCAAAGGGTCACCACCTCCAATATACACTACATCAGTGATGGCGAACCTATGGCCCGGGTGCCAGAGGCAGCACTCAGAGCCCTCTCTGTGGGCACGCGTGCCATCGCCCCAGTCCTAGGCGTTCAGCTAGGTTTTATAAAACCTTTTCGCTTTAGGCCTCCGCCCCCGTGTGCAAAAAAAAAAAAAAAAAAGGTTCAATCAATCAGTCAATTTCAACTTCTTGCGGGGGAAAAAAAAGATCTTGCAAAGTTAGAATTGATTGACTGAACTTTTTAGTCCCACCCAGTCTGCCGTTATCACCGCAGCCACGCCCACCCAGTGGGCCACCCCCACCCAATGGGCCACCCCCGCCCGGCACCCGACGATGCGTAAGTGGGTTTTGGGTTGCAGTTTGGGCACTCGGTCTCTAAAAGGTTCGCCATCATCGCACTACATAAATATGTCAACATAAATAAAATAAATCAGTTGTGAAACAGCACCGTTGGGGTATATTCTGTTACATTTTAATTTGTCTTAGCAGACCCAGTGTGTACATGGCCACACCGAGGTACAAACGCTGTGTGGTTCCTGGACAAAATGAAGCTTCAAAGAATGTTTCTAGGATGTAAATGTATCGCTATTGGCTTCCTCGGAAATGTGTTGAAATTCACCAAATATCGTCGGAGGTACAGTTGAAACAGGGAGATGCTGTTTTTAGTAATGGCACTTCTGTCTTTTAGGCTTAATCTGCCGGGCTGTGCCTCAAGGCAGTCCCCACTCCGACATGAAGGAGAGGACTGTGTTGGCGGGCTCCATAATGCAAGGTAAGAAAAAGACCAATGTTCCACTCCCTTCTCTTCTCTCCCCCCTTTCCCTCCCCCCATCTCTTCTCTCCTAACAGCTTGCCTCCAGAAGCCTGTGGGTGCTCCATCACTCGAGGTTTTTAAGAAGAGACTGGACAGCCATTTGTCTGAAATGGTACAGGGTTGCCTGCCTGAGCAGGAGGTTGGACTAGATGACCTCCAAGGTCTCTTGCAGCTATGTGGTGGTGATGATGATGATGATGATGATGATGATGATGATGATGATGATAGAGTTGGAAGGGACCTTGTCATCAAGTCCAACCCTCCCCCCCCCCACTCAGGCAGGAAACCCTATACCATTTCAGGCAAATGGCTGTCCAGTCTCTTCTTAAAGACTTCCAGTGTTGGAGCATTCACCGCTTCTGGAGGCAGGTTGTTCATAATAATAATAAAGTTGGAAGGGACCTTGTCATCAAGTCCAACCCTCCCCCCCCCCCACTCAGGCAGGAAACCCTATCCCATTTCGGACAAATGGCTGTCCAGTCTCTTCTTAAAAACTTCCAGTGTTGGAGCATTCACTGCTTCTGGAGGCAGGTTGTTCCACTGGTTAATTGTTCTCTCTCTCAGGAAATCCCTCCTTAGTTCCAGGTTGCTTCTTCCCTTGATCAATTTCCATCTGTTGCTTCCTGTCCTGCCTTCAGGTGCTTTGCAGAATAGGTTGACCCCCCCCTCTTCTCTGTGGCATCCCCTCAAATATTGGATCACTGCTATTATGTCCCCCCCTCCCTCGTCCTTCTCTTCATTAGACTAGACCAGGGGTAGGCAACCTTGGCTCTTTTATGACTGGTGGACTTCAACTCCCAGAATTCCTGAGCCAGCCATGCTGAGGGGAAAGGGAGAGGTTTCCAAGCTGAGCCATGCTGGCTCAGGAATTCTGGGAGTTGAAGGCCACAAGTCATGAAGGGGCCAAAGTTTCCCCATGCTGGCTCAGGAATTCTGGGAGTTGAAGTCCACGAGTCATCAAAGAGCCAAGGTTGGCTACCCCTGGACTAGACATTTATATGGTTTAGCCTCCAGTCTCCTAATCATGTTTGTTGCTCTATTCTATTCTGTTCTATTCTATATTCTATATTCTATTCCATTCTATTCTATTTTCTATTCCATTCTATATTCTACATTCTTTTCTACATTCTATTCTATTTTGTATTCCATTCCATTCTATTCTATTCTATTCCATTCTTCCATTATTCCCTTCCCTTCCATTCTATTCTATTCTATTCTATTCTATTTTCTATTCCATTCTACATTCTATTTTCTATTCTATTTTGTATTCTGTTCTATTCTATCCCAATCCCAATCCTGCGATCCTCTCTCTCCCACCCAAGGCACCCCGCGATCGACCGCTGAGAGCTACGAAATCGGGCTCAAGTACCCCAAGATCAAGAGGGAGTCTCCCCCCATGAGGACCTTTGAGGGAGCCATCACCAAGGGGAAGCCCTACGACGCGGTCACCACCATCAAGGAGATGGGGCGCTCGGTCCACGAAATCCCCCGGCAGGACCTGTTGAATCAGGAAAGCCAGAAGTCTCCCGATCTCGTCCCTCACGTCCGCCCCATCATCGAAGGATCCATCTCCCAGGTGAGCAAAAACCTGGAGGCCGCAGTTGGGAAAAAAGCTCAAATCCTACAGTCCCTTTTTTTTTTTTTTTTTTGAAGAGTTGGAAGCAATTGTCGAGGTCACAAAGTCTCACCCCTATTCAGGGTGAGCTTCCAGATCGTCTGTTCTTCTAATGTTGTTGTTGTTAGTTGCGAAGTCGTGTCCGACCCATCGCGACCCCATGGACCACGTTCCTCCAGGCCTTCCTGTCCTCTACCGTCTTCTGGAGTCCATTGAAGCTCACGCCTCCTGCTTCAGGGACTCCATCCAGCCCCCTCATTCTCTGTCGTCCCCTTCTTCTCTTGCCCTCCATCTTTCCCAGCATCAGGCCCTTCTCCAGTGAGTCCTTCCTTCTCCTTAGGTGGCCAAAGGACTTGAGTTTCCACTTCAGGATCTGGCCTTCTAAAGAGCAGTTGGGGTTGATCTCCTCCAGGACTGACCGGTTAGATCGCCTTGCAGTCCAGGGGACTCGCAGGAGTCTTCTCCAGTACCAGAGTTCAAAGGCCTCCAGTCTTTGGTGCTCGGCCTTTCTTATGGTCCAACTTTCACAGCCATACATTGCAATGGGAAAACCATGGCCTTGATTGTACATACTTTTGTTGGCAGGGTGACATCTCTGCTTTTTAGTATACTCTTCTAATGTAGATAGTCCTTATATTACAACAGATCGTTTAATAACCATTCAAAGTTACAACGGAAGTGAAAAAAGTAACTCTTTTTAATAACATTTTATTAATTTCCCAGTTTTACATTTCAGTATTTAAAAAGCAACGTGGTGACTGGGTTAATCAACAGTTCGATAACAAAATCTTTAGTGCAAATCTCAGGTTACAATTTCAGATATTTCTTCTCTTTTTCCCCTTATCACTTACTGTCTTGTATTCAAGCTAGTACAGTTCTTATTATATCAGCTCAGTTAAAAACATCATTATTGCATTTATCTGTAAATTTTTAGCTTATACGTATCTTAATTACATTCCATCTTCATAAAACAATCCATATCCTGTTATTGGTTGATGGGCCATCTGACCCCACCTCCAAGATGCAGGCAGAGGTTGATTTAACCGCCATTCCAAGACCATGCTAGGTTTCTCCGCTATTTGCCCCCATTCTCCTCTCCTCTCTTCTCCAGGGGACGCCCATCAAGTATGAGAGCAGCTCCTGCCAGTCGGCTATCAAGCACAACGTCAAGTCCCTGATCACCGGGCCCAGCAAACTCTCGCGAGGCCTCCCGCCCATGGAGATGGTCCCCGAGAACGTGAAGGTGGTGGAACGCGGGAAGCACGAAGACCCCAAGGCTGGAGAGATGCGCTCTCGCCACACCTCGGTGGTCAGCTCGGGGCCCTCCGTCCTGCGGTCCACGCTCCACGAGGCTCCCAAGTCCCAAGTCAGTCCCGGGATCTACGAGGATCCCAACGCCAGGAGGACCCCAGTGGGCTATCAAAGCCTGTCCAGAAGTTCACCCATGATGAACCGCGGCGAAGGTAGGCAGCCTCGGAGGCTTTGCGGCTTCCGTTAATGGTCAGCGGGACGAGGGAGAAAAAAAATGGATCAATTGAGCAGGCAATCTACTAACCATCTACCCGTTCTGAGTCTCTGGAACTCAGAAAGACTTTAATTGGTTATATTTGTATTTTTTTTTTTAGTATTTCAGCATGGGTACTAATGGCTTCCTCCTGTGGTATTGCTGTACAGGTGCTCCTCGGCTTACAAATGTTTGTTTAGCGCGCTTCCAATTGCTAAGCAAGATATTTGTTAAGGGAGTCGCTCTCGGTTTTAACCACCTTTGGGTGACAGTTGTTAAACAAATTGCTGCCATTAGTGTTACTGAATCCTGGAGTCGTCAAGCAATTTCCAGAAGGAAGGGAGGGAAGGAAGGAGGGAGGGCACAGAAAGAGGAAGGGAAAGAAGAAAAAGGGGAAAAAAGGAGAAGGAAGGAGAAGGGAGGGAGGGAGGACATAGTAATTGTGATAGGGATTTCGGAGTCCTCGTGGGCAATCACTTAAACAGGAGCCAGCCGTGTGCTGCAGCTGCCAGAAAAGCCAACATAGTGCTAGGCTGCATTAACAGAGGGAGAGAATCAAGATCACGCGAAGTGTTAATACCGCTTTACAAGGCCTTGGTAAGGCCACACTTGGAATACGGCATCCAGTTTTGGTCACCACGATGTAAAAAAGATGCTGAGGCTCCAGAAAGGGTGCAGAGAAGAGCAGCAAAGATGATCAGGGGACTGGTGGCTAAAATAAACAAGGAAAGGCTGCTGGAATTGGGGATGTCTAGTTTAATGAAGAGAAGGACGAGGGGGGACAGGATAGCAGCGTTCCAGTATCTCAGGGGCTGCCCCAAAGAAGAGGGAGTCAAGCTATTCTCCACAGTGCCTGAAGGCAGGACAAGAAGCAACGGATGGAAACTCATTAAGGAGAGAAGCAACCTGGAACTAAGGAGAAACTTCCTAACAGTGAGAACAATTAACCAGTGGAACAACCTGCCTCCAGAAGCGGTGAACGCTCCAACACTGGAGGTTTTTGAGAAGAGACTGGACAGCCATTTGTCCGAAATGGTGTAGGGTTTCCTGCCTGAGCAGGGGGTTGGACTGGATGACCTCCAAGCTCCCTTCCAACTTTGTTATTATTATTATTACTATTATTATTATCGATCATCGCACAGTCAGCCAGATGTTCAGACTGGATTTGGCATTTTGTCTACCTATCGAGTCCTTACCCAGGACCTGGGATAGGCAGATGTGGATGTTTGATGGTATTACAGATATCGTCGCAGGATGGAAGCAGTTCCTAATAAGGCCGCCTTTTGCAATTGACTAATAGCGAATTTGTCAATGCCAATGGTGTTCAAGTGGTGCTCCAGTTGTTTTGGGATTGCACCCAAGGAGCCTATGACTATTGGTACTACCCTTGCTTGCTTTTGCCACAGTCTTTCTATTTCTATTTGTAGGTCTTTGTATTTTGTTATCTTCTCCAGTTCTTTCTCTTCTATTCTGCTATCTCCAGGCACTGCCACATCCACTATCCAGACTTTTTTGTCTTTCTTATCGACAATTGTTAAGTCTGGGGTGTTATGTTGCAGGTGCTTGTCTGTTTGAATTCTGAAGTCCCAGAGCAGTTTAATTTTATCATTTTCTATGACTTTCTCTATTTTATGATCCCACCAGTTTTTGCTTACAGGCAAATGATATTTTTTGCAGATCTTCCAATGCACCATTGTTGCTACTTTGTCATGCCGCTGCTTGTAGTCAGTCTGTGCAATCTTCTTGCAACAGCTTACCAGGTGGTCCACTGTTTCTTCAGCTTCTTTGCATAGGCGGCACTTACTGTCTGTTGCTGTCTTCTCAATTTTGACTTTGTATGCATTTGTCCTTAAGGCTTGGTCTTGTGCAGCCAGAATTAGTCCCTCGGTCTCTTTCTTCAATTTTCCTGCTCTTAGCCATTGCCAGGTTTTATTATTATCTGCTTTCCCAGCTATTTTTTTCATGTATTGGCCATGTAGTGCTTTGTCTTCCCATGCCTCTATTCTGTTCTTCATTTGGTCTTTCTTGTAGGCCAGTTTGGTCTCTCCAGTAGTCAGTAAGCCTTCCTGATATACTAATTTCAGTGCATCTTCATCATTGTTCTTCAGATATTCTTCCAAAGCCATTTTTTCTTCTTCAACCATCTGATGTACTTGTAGCATTCCACGCCCACCTATTTGCCTTGGTAGATAAAGTCTATCAATGTCACTGCGTGGATGAAGGGCATGATTCATTGTCATTATTTTTCTGGTCTGCCTATCCATTGCTTTTAGTTCTGCTTGAGTCCAGTCCACTATTCCAGCTGTGTACCTAATGACTGGGATTGCCCAGGTGTTGATTGCCTTTATGGTATTTCCTCCATTGAGTTTGGATTTTAAGATCTTCTTCACTCTCTTGATGTATTCACCTCTAATCTTTTTCTTGACTTCAGTGTGCTTGATGTTGTCAGCTTGAAGGATACCCAAGTATTTGTAGTACTCTTCCTCATCCAGACTCTTAATGTTATTTTCGTGGGGCATCTTGATTCCTTCAGTTTTCACTATTTTTCCTTGTTTGATAGTAAGTGTGGCACATTTGTCCAAGCCAAACTCCATTACAATATCTTGGCTATATATACGGACAGTGTTGAGCAGCGATTCTATTTCAGATGATGTTTTTCCATACAGCTTCAGATCATCCATATAAAGGAGGTGGGATAGTCTGGCAGATGTTTTTGATGTTTGATAGCCATGTCCTGAGTTATTCAGTATTGTTGACAGAGGAAACAGTGCAATAACAAATAGTAATGGTGATAATGAATCTCCTTGAAATATTCCTCTCTTGATATTAACCTCTCCCAGCTCTCACCATTGATCTGCAACTGTGTCTTCCATTGTGCCATCGATCTTTGCACAAATTTTCTGATGTTTCTACTGACTCCTGTTATTTCTAGGCACTTTATTATCCAATCATGTGGCAGAGAGTCAAATGCCTTTTTGTAGTCAATCCATGCCACATTCAGGTTGGTCTTCCTTCTCTTGCAGTTTTCCAAGATCATTTTGTCTATTAGGAGTTGATCTTTTGTTCCTCTGCTATTGGGGCGGTTTCCTTTCTGCTCAGGTGGAAAGAGATTGTTTTCAACTAGATGCTGTTGTACTGCATCAGCTACCACACCAGTTAGTAATTTGAAAGTTGTTGGTAAGCAGGTAATTGGCCTGTAGTTGCCTGGTGTTGCCCCTTTTGCTGGATTTTTCATTATTAGGTAGGTTTTCCCAGTTGTTAGCCACTTTTCAATTTCTCCTCCTTGTAGTATATTGTTGAACTGCTTGGCAATGAGTGGGTGTATAACAGTTAGATGTTTCAACCAAAACCCATGCAGTTCATCTTCACTGGTGCTGACCAATTTTTGATTTTCTTTGCTCTTTTTTCTACCATTTTTGTTGTTATTACTAGTTCTTTCATTTCAACTTCTGTTTTATTTGCATCCACCTCTTTTAACCAAGCCGCATCCTTGTTGTATTTCTTTGGGTTATCCCATATCTGCTTCCAGAACTGCACTGTTTCTTCCTTGTCAGGTACTGACTGATTCCTTGCAGTTTCTCCATTGATGGATTGGTAGAAACGTTTCTGATTGGATTGAAATTGGAGTTCTGCCTATAGTTTGCAATTCGAGCTTCATATCTACTGATTTTCCTGGCTATAGCTGTTATTTGTTGCTTTATTATTTCCAGTGCTTCCTTGATCTTCCTTGTTTCTAAGTGGTATTTCTTGATTAGGTATTCTTTGGTCTTCTTGTTCTTCAGCTTCTTTTCTTTCATCTGTTCTAGCTTGCTTGCATGTGATCTTAACTTGCTGATCTTATTTTCTAGTCTAACCTTCCATTTTTGTGGTGCACTGTTTGTTTGTTTTTCTTTTTTGTTGATTTTGCATCCCAGGTATTCTGTTATAACTGCAGCTGTGCTGTACATGAGTTCGTTTGTTTCTTGCAGTGAATTTGTGCTTATACTTGATATTGCAGTATTTGCATCTTTTAATGCTTGTGCTAGCTGTTTCTTTGGAACAAGCTTCAATGCAGGCAGCCTTATTCTGTTGTTTTTGTGCTGTTCTAGATGCTCAGTTATTCTTTGTTTCAATTCTTTTATTTCTTTAGTTAGAGGGTTTTGTTCTTCCTGAGGTAGAGGTGCCTGGTTTCCAAATGAGAACAGTTGTATATCTCTGCTAGATTCCTTCACTGCCAACTCCCCCTGGTTTGCCTCTACATTCTGAATTACTTCTGGTAAGGCTTTGATTTCTTTGCCCTGGGTAAACCTTTGCAGTTCGTCCAATTCTGTTTCTGTGAATACTTTATTTCGTATTATAAATCGGCGTTGATCTGCTAGTCTCTGTTCTGTTATTTCTGATTCTGGATGTTGTTCTTTCCAGAAATGGTGCATTCGTTTTAGATATCCTCTTCTTGTTGGACTTGATCTGTAGTAACAGATCATTATTTCTTTGTTTTCCATCACTGTGTATCTGCGACGGGTAAACAACTTTTCTTCCAGTAATTCTGCAGCTGCTGGCCCTGGTTGCTCAGCCAACAGTCCTGAGTCCTGTACCCCATTTTTCACCAGATATCCAGGAACTCCAATATCGAGCGCAGACCTTGTTAACCTGGTCGACGTCTGAGCCGGTATGGCATTCTGCAATTTACGTCTCCCCATATTTTTTATGGGAGAGACACTCTTTGTCTGACTCCTCTGATGAGACCTGTCCAGTATGGTTGAACCTCTGGCATAGCTCTCATCTTCCTCAGAGTACACAAGCCCCACAACCACGTCAAGGTAGTGCCTCACTGGGGTATTATTATTATTATTATTATTATTATTATTATTATTATTATTATTATTATTGTGGATCATCGCACAGTCAGCCAGATGTTCAGACTGTATTTGGCATTTTGTCTACCTATCGAGTCCTTACCCAGGACCTGGGATAGGCAGATGTGGATGTTTGATGGTATTACAGGTATCGTCGCAGGATGGAAGCAGTTCCTAATAAGGCCGCCCTTTGCAATTGACTAATAGCAAATTTGTCAATGCCAATGGTGTTCAAGTGGTGCTCCAGTTGTTTTGGGATTGCGCCCAAGGATCCTATGACTATTGGTACTACCCTTGCTTGCTTTTGCCACAGTCTTTCTATTTCTATTTGTAGGTCTTTGTATTTTGTTATCTTCTCCAGTTCTTTCTCGTCTATTCTGCTATCTCCAGTCACTGCCACGTCCACTATCCAGACTTTTTTGTCTTTCTTATCGACAATTGTTAAGTCTGGGGTGTTATGTTGCAGGTGCTTGTCTGTTTGAATTCTGAAGTCCCATAGCAGTTTAATTTTATCATTTTCTATGACTTTCTCTATTTTATGATCCCACCA